CACCTCAGAGAAAGCAGAGGTCCAATTTGCTCAAACACGAGAAAAATAAAAATCTTACAAACTAACATATAAAGCACAGTTCATCTAACATTTACATGCTATTTAACGCTGTCTCTGGAGAAGGAAAAAAAAAGGGAACAAGAGAAAAGCTTCCAGTTTCCATCTCTTTTGCYTCCATTTTCCCCCAGAGGTGAGCAGGCATCACTGTAGGCTTTATGGTGGAGCAACAGACGGAGGGGTGAAGACCGGGGCAGGAGGCACGCTCCCAGGCTGGCTCAATAGCTCAAGAAAGATTAGACCTGACCAGCATGCAGGAGATGGGGAGAAGTGGGTGGGTTCAAGAAACACTTAAGTGACAATCCATAGGGATCAATAATAATATACACGAGAAGAGAGGTACAGAAGATCAGAGATGATACCTAAGCTTTAATTGACATGCTTAGATGGATAATAGAAAAATTAAGCATAAAGGAAGTAAAAAAGAAAATATTCAGGATGCAGTGATATTTATTGTTTTCCATTTTCTTTCAGTTAGAAGTGGAATATAAATATGGCTTTAGATACATATATAAATATATAAATATTCAGGATGCAGTGATATTTATTGTTTTCCATTTTCTTTCAGTTAGAAGTGGAATATAAATATGGCTTTAGATACATGTCTCAAATACAAGAAGAAATGTCAGGCAGACAGCTGCCTCACATCCAGTTCTTGCCTCATGCAACCCTGAGGCAAAAACTGGAAGGGAGATAAACATTTATGAAAAGAATGTGATACAGTTAGTAAATAAAACTATAGCCACAGAAAGTATAAGTAGAAGGTATTGTCGAAGAACGGAAAAGGACTGGGATCGAGCTTTAAACAAATTGAAGGAGATAAGAAGACACAGACCAAAAGAAGAAGAAAGAAAGAAAGAAAGGAAAAAAAAAGCTATAAACAAGCCATTTCTTGGGTATAACACCTAACGTACATACAACAAAAGAAAAAACAAATGAAAAAGTTGGAACTCATCAAAACTAAAAGCTTTGTGTTTCAAATGATAGCACCAATATAGTGAAGGAGAAAAAAAAATCCCACAGAATAGGGAAAAGTATTTACAAATTATATCTTAATAAGATTATACTAGATAAAACCTTATGCTGGATACCACCAGCATGTATAAAGAACTCTTAAAACTCAATAATAGCTCCATTAGAAATGGAGCTACCCATCAGAAATGATGGGCTGGCAAGGGATCTATCTGAAAAGAAAGTATATAAATRGTCAATAAGAACCTGAAAAAAATTATTACTTATTAGAGACATAAAAATCAGAATCATGAGACACCACCATGATGACTAAAGTAGAAAAAGAAAAATTAAAGTACAAAAGAAAGACAATAACAACTGTGGGCAATTATGTGTAGAAACTGGAACTCTCTTACGCTGCTGGTTAAGAATGTAAAATAGTGCAGCTACTTTGGAAAATAGTGCGAGTCACTCAAAAAGTTAAACATATAACCCAGCAATTCCACTCTGGTATACAGAAATGAAAATGTATATCCAAAACAAAATCTTCTACATGAACATTTTCAGCAGCATTTGTAACAATAAACCAAAAGTGGAAACAACTCAAAAGTCCATCAACAGATAAAGAAAATGCAATTTATCCATACACTGGAATACTGTTCAACCATCAAAAAGGAAGAAGTACTGATACATGCTACCATATAGATGAATGTTAAAAATAGCATGCTAAAGTGAAAGAAGCCAGACAGAAAAGTCACATATTGTGTGACTCCATTTATATAAAATGCCCCAAATGGCAAAACCATAAAGCAGAAATTAGGTTGCCAGAGATGAGAGGCAGAAGGGAATAGTAAGTTCATACTAGTGGACACAGTTTTTCCTGGGAGTGATGAAATATTCTAGAATTAAACGATGGTGATGCATGGACATTTTTTTTTTAGCATAAAAAAGAAACAGCTCTAAATCCTGTACTTTAAAAAAGTGAAATTTTAGGAGGTGAACTATATGTGTATTCACAATTTCTAAAATATTCTGAGGACTTAAAAAAAAAGTCCAATACCTATCTGTGACAAAAACTCAGAAAAATAATAGATGAAAACTACCTCATGTTGATAAGGAACACCAAAAACCCCACAGCTAACATCCCATCAATGGTGAAAGACCCAAGATGGGTCCATTGCTGTTACAATTTCTTCATACCACCCAAATGTTCAGTGATCTTTAGCAAAGAAGAAAATTAAGTAGTTTGTTATTTGACAGTTAATGAACATCTTACTGAGCTCTCAAAGTTCTATAGAGTAGTATCACCATTTGGGAGTAGTAACATCATTTGGATTTTATACAAAAACTCAGAAAAATAATATATAAAAACTACCTTTATACATATGCATTTATATTACTTCTTTCCTTGAAATAACCATATTTGGCTCTAACCATTTAAATATTAATACTACATTATCACAGTAAGAAGCTAAAAGTATAGAACCCCAAGAATTTTTAGATTGTCTTCCTTACCATTTGCTATTTTTTAAACACAGATGCCTAAAAGAACTATTTTCACCTTCAATCCTACCCTAAGCCCATATACACCTGCAGACAAAGATAGCGGACACACATATACTCACACACAAAATAAGGAAATGTGGGGGAAATATTTATACCTAGACATTTAGATTACAGTGTTGCTATGGTGCACCCAGTGTTACACAACTTTGGTATTCCTGATGCTTAAATTCATATTTTTCACATTCAGTGAAATCCACAGTGGAAAGGCCCCAACACAGATTTGATTTTTTTCCCAAATGCTGGCACTATAATGAGATTCACTTTCATAGTGATAGGAGAGGCTATAAAGTACAAACTTGCTTTTCTGCTACTACTTCTAATTCCTTGCCCAGCATTTTATCTTAGTAGCAATGGTTTTTAAACTGAGAAACCACACAAACTAAACAAGTTCACACAAAACTAAAAAGCATGTGTCAGGCAGCTAACTGCCTGGGTCCCTACCTCTGGATATCCATCAGTTCCATTCATCACAGGCCCACAACTCAGACACCTGAGTTCAGTTTTAAGCTTTACCCAGGATATGACATGAAAATCATATACAAATTTGCAAGCTAACAGAGAAAATGATGCCATAAATAAAATTATCTACAAATTATACAGTTATAGGAAAATGAACTATAAGAAAATTTCACAAAATAAAAATGATTTTTGATGGTAATAGCTAAATTATGATAAATATTATTCATTTTTTTCTTTTAATATGATTTATATTTTTATATGAAAAATAAATAAGTGGGATTAATAAAAGTAATTTTAAATCACTTTAAGCATTTTATAAGAAGCATGCTATCCAAAGCAAAATTCCTTAGGAATAATAATGGAATAATGGTGGGTATACAGCAGAGTGTGTCAAAAGACCCAAACTCAGGCTGGGGTTATAGCTCRGTGGTACAGCACATGCCTGSCATGTGTGAGGCACTGGGTTCGATTCCTAGCACCACATATAAATAAATAAATTAAATAAAGGTCCATCAACAACTAAATATTAAAAAAAAAAAAAGACCTGAACTCTTGTTACCTGCTGTCTGGCATTACATACCAAGCATGCAACATTTTTGACACACTCAAAATATTTAAAATCTGAAGGCTATTTTATGATATACGACCCTTAACAATTCTAAAACAGGTATGATGCAATGATATTGTCAGTTAAAAGTTCTTAGGGGCAATTGACCTTCTGATGACTTTTCATTCATGCAGTAATTCACTCCTGTCTTTTCCTCCTTTTCTGGAATTTGACTTGATCTCAAAAACAAGCTCACAGTATACTAAAAGGAAAAAGGGAGCTAGAAACAATAGGCTGTAGCTCATTTCATTTATTCAATAATATTTATTTCATACCTACCACATTTCTGGGATATTTGAGGCACTAAGCTCATGCTCAGTGGGAATAAAAAAAGGAAATAAAATTAAGTTCCTGCCTTCATGAGTAAACAAATATTTACTGTGATAAGTGCTAGAAGGAATCAATCAGGGTTAAGGGCAGAGATCCCTTGGAGGACTAGACACGCTGTTCTGGGTGGCCCTCTAATGAAGGGATGCTACAGCAGTGATCAGGATGAAGTGAGGAAGAGGGTCACATGATACCACAGAGTGAATGTTTCAGAAAGAAGGAAAAATAAGCATAGAGAAGCGGGGGCACAGTGGCGTTCACCTGTAATCCAGCGGCTCTGGAGGCTGAGGCAGGAGGATCATGAGTAAAAAAACTAACCTCAGCAACTTAGTGAGGCCCTAAGCAACTTGGTGAGACTTTGTCTCAAAATAAAAAATAAAAAGAGCTGGTTAAGCATCTTTGGGTTCAATTCCTGGTACCAAAAAGAAAAACAAAAAACAGAAAGCACAGAGGCCCTGAAACAAGGGATGCTCAAAATGTTCAAAATTAGCCAGTAGGTCGGTGAATGTGGCAGGAGCTGAGAACTTTCAGAAAGAACAGTAGGAATGACATCAGAATGGGGGTCTGTGCCAGATCACAAAGGGGCAGGTAGACCATGGGGAGCCACTGAATTGTAGTCTGGGTGTGGATGTGAGGCAGGAAATTAGCAGCACCTGATTTATGACCCTGGTTGCTATGTGCAAAACAGACTTCAAGTGTGGACAAAGAAGAAGCAAGGATACGGCTGAGAGGCTGCCACAGTGCCCAAGTGACATACCACGATGGCCTGAACCAGGAAGACACCAGCAGCAATGGTGAGAATTGAGAATTTTTAAAAGCCAAGCCGACAGGATTAGCTAATGGATTCATTATGGGTTATGAAACAAAGTCAGTGATGACTCCATAGTTCCTGGCAGGGAAAAGTGGATGAATGAAGGTTAAGTTTTAAGGCCTAGAAGCCCTTACTAAAAATTATCTAGTTCAGCTGCTCAGAAATAGCATAAGCTGACATAAAACTGAAAAGGCAGAAGCAGATTCTGCTTTTTCCACTCACCGTTTGCAGATTGTATCATGTTTCCAGATTTTTGGACTTCATCAAATTTTGTAAAAATGACATTCAGCCTGTATGAAAACAAAAATGTATACAAACTATTAACCATTGCTATCTATAATTAACAAACATTAAGGTGAAGTTGAGTTCCATCCCAATAAAATTATCCATGATACAAATGCACTTAACAACACAGCTTTATTTTGATATTAGCAATATACAATAATAATTGAGCACCTACTATGGTCCTAGCACTGGTATAAGTGCTCTACCTAGAAATCACATTTAATCCTACAAGAGTCTCATGAAAGATTACCATCACCCCATTCTATAGAGGAGGAAATCACCTCCACACACATCTTACTAAGGGGACATAATTAATGGGGTGAAGATTCCAGACCCAACAGTGGAATCCATAGCCCCCATTCCCAATTATTATATTAATCATGACTCCCTACATAAAATGTATTCGTGATAAAAAGTGCATATTCCTCCTATTTCTAAGCCCAGACTTCCAGTTACTTTGGATAAAGCTTTAAAAATCCTTTAATATCACACTACAAAGGCTTCTCTGTGGCTTATACTTAATTCAAAATGTTATAAATAATTTCTCTAGAAACCAACGTCGTGACTGCATAATTTTCAACTTAGAAAGTCTGCATGACATTTGTTTTCTATTAATGGATCATTTCACCTTGGCATTTAAATTGAAGCAAAACTCCTTAATCAGTCAAAATATTCCATCCTAGTGACATCAAAAATGAGAAGAAAAGGGTGCACACAGCATTAACTCATAGTTAATGTTAAGTAAAAAAGTGTCTCCCGAGCAAAACACAGATACATTGGAATAAGTGTAAAGGTTGAGATTCCAAAGGAAGTACTTTGCGGTCAAACCTATGACATTCATTTCTGGGACCAGATTATTAATTTAGTACTTTCTTACACACCATCCTGTGTAAATGTTTGTTTCAAATTAGAATGGAAGCACCCTGGGGAGTGAGAAGGCAGCAGTATTCTTTCAGTGTCTATACCATGTACCCACAGATGATCACTTAGGAGAGTCCCATCATGGTGTTAGAGAGCTGGTACCTAACCCTGTCCCTGTTTCACTCTACAACACTTTTAGACATTTCACACATTCTGGTCTTAGTTCATTCCTTCAACAACACCTGAGCATCCATGATGTRCCTAGCACCAAGTTAACTCAATGCTAAATGTGTAAGGTTTTTAACCTCTGGAGCTTTAATTCAAAGTGTCAGGGAAGCCAAAACTACAGATCAACTTTTAAAATGAAGGGGATGAACCAGCCTCATACACTGCTTCTCCTTCTTCCCATAGAAGGTATCGTAATCTTTTCAAGTCATCTTTCCATCAAAGCTCAGATGTAGCTTTATAATCCTTCCTGAAATTGCTCCAGGCAATCACTAACAAAGTGTACACTGAAATAAAACTCCAGTTTCCATCCAGGACCAGATATGAGTAAAGTGTCACTCACATTCAAATCCAGTGCTTACTAAAGATCCAGAAAGATGCCTTAGAATCAATTTCATAAGATGTTTCCATTGCCTTCCCTTTTAAAGTCACAAAGATCTCCAATGGCTTGGCAAACCCATAAAAACTATCACTATACAGGTTGCCAGGGCATGCCTCAACTAAGGTGTGACTTTATTTTGTCACAGCCACACCCTCTGACATGAGCTCACCTACAGGATTTCAAGTTAGGCTGAGGTATACCTCTAGTCCTGGTGTCCCTGAAATCACTGGAAAAGGGCAAGTATTTCCTCCATACCTAGGAGAGTACTCCCAATAATAAATAGCATGTGGGTTGTCTATCAGTGGTGTGATCTAATCACTGTGATCACATKAACCACAATCAAGTGTGGCAGAAATCAGGTGTGAGATCACTGAAAAGGGCACTGTGGTTGGCACCTGCACCTTAACTCGGAATTTCCTGGGGCAAGAGGGCCCTTCCCTCCAGTTCAACACTCTTTTTTTAGTTCCCCCCTTTACTCAATAGTGTCCTCCAAAATGTCTCCTACCAACGTCACCACCTCAAGAGAGCAGTAACCTGGCAATATGACAGAGGAACAACAACAACATCTCTTGAGAATACTGACACTTGTCTGCCACTCTGAGCACAGGAACTGAAGTGCAACCAGGCACAAGTCTAAGGGGGTGAGTCACACAAGTTCAAAGCCAGGCACAACAGAGCACGCCTATGGTCTCAGACACTTGGGAGGCTGAGGCAGGAGGCTTGCAAGCTTAAGACCAGTCAGCAGCTTAACAGGACCCCAAGAAACTCAGTGAGACCCTATCTCAAATTTTTAAAATTCAGTGGTAAAATGTGCCTAAGTTCAATCCTCAGCATAAAAAAAAAAATGTAAAATAAAGATAATGAGGATATAATCATTACCCTTTGAAGCCATTAGATGTATTTCTTTTTTTTCCCCAAAGGTTGGACTTTTTTTWAATTATTATCTCCAAAATAAGGGAGGGGTAAAAACAAAAACAGAGAGAGAAAGGGAGAGGGAATTTCATCAAAATAGAGGAAAGATCAGTAGAGTAGATGAGGGGATTGAGAAGGGAGGAAGGACAGGAAAAGGGAAGGACAGTGGAAGTGCATGCTTGAATGTGGAACGGTGGGTCCTGGAAATGGGTGTATCCACAGGATTCTAATTTTTAAAAAAGTAAGCTCTAAATGGATTAAAAAGGTATCTCTCTGGAGTGGAGGGTGGGGAGGAGTGGGGTGGGCTGTGGGTGGGGTGGGAAGTGCTGGGAAATGAATTGGAGTGCATTGTGTTCCGTGCTTTTGTAATAATGTCATGGTGTGTCCTGGTATTTATATAGCTAAAAAAAATATAGTTTTAAAAATGCATGTAGACAACAACATGGTGAGCATGGTGGCACTAGTGTAATGAGGCTATTGGCTGGGAAGATAGGGTATTCCTGAACTTACCTTTCCTCTAAAAGGTATCTAACTGGCGAGAAATTTAGGAACTGCTTCTTCCAGTGTGAAGAGGTAGATGAACAGTGTTCACTGAAACATGTGTCACAAGAGTAGCACTTGAACATTATGTAAAGTGGGATATATATATTTATTTATATATATTTGGTTCCCAGTAGCTCTACAGAGAACCAAGATTAGACCTGTGTAAACTGAGCAATTAGACCTGCAAACTAGACCTACATTCCTGTGYAGGTGTCCCTCAGGAATATAGAAAAAGAAAATTGGGGGACGTTGCATTATAAGAATGATGAAATGTAGATTAATTTGATGTGAGTAAAATAAATAGTCTACATTGCAAACAATTTCCTATCTTCTTGATTGATCACTTATTTGAATTTGGAAGGAGTTAATTGCCAGTAGCTATTATTGTTGAGGATTAAGCCAGCTGTTCCAGTTCAGAAAGTGTGTTTAGATACCATCTGCTACTTTTTGGCTTTGGCCAATGGTGTTATTGCATTGTCACTATTTAAGTGTTTTGTAGGTGTATTTCTTTTACTTTAAATCTTTGGATTGCAATTTAAAATATATTTCTTGAGGCCAGTGCATGCTTAGCATGTGTGAGGCCCTGGGTTCAATCCCTTGCACCCCTCAAAATGAGTCAATGAATCTCTTTTACTAGTTTGACAAATAACTACTATTCACTTTCCCCTAGTTTTTCTGAATTTGAATTTTTATAAGTAAATTCTTCATCCAAACAATTTTGTCTTTTTTTTTACTATAAGACTTAGATTTAACTTCTTCCTAGAAAAAATGTATAATAAAAAATATGAATTTTTAAAAATTCTCTTGAATTGGGATATAGCTGAGTGGTACAGCACTTGCTTAAGATGCTCAAGGCCTGGGTTTGAGCACCAGCACTGCAAAAAAGAAAGAAAGAAAAAAACAAAACTAGAATTTAAACCAGAAGCAAATACTAAAATCTCAAAGTTAACAAGCTCCATCCAAACACTCAGCTTTTAGTAAGCTTTTCAGTACTTGGTACTCAATTATGAGTATCAAGGACTACAGGATACCCGAGAAAAGATTCTAAAATGAAAAAGAGCAAAACAACCACATACTGAAAAATTCCAACTTGGACGACAGAGAGATGTTGGTGGAAAACACAAGTTTTAAGACCATATCACTGATTTTTCCAAAGAGATAGAGAAAATATTGCAGTCATAAGGCAAACAGGAAATGAACCCTGCAAAATGGCAGTAAAAGGACCTCTGAAAATCTATTGCTTAAAAGAAGTAAAGAGAACACTGGCAAAACCTTTTAAAATTAACGTTGTCAAAACTCTAGAGGTTGAACAAAGGCTTGCAACAATGCAAGGAGCATTTCTTCAAATTAAAGGGCCTGATCTCAGTAACAGTGAGCTTTTCGTTGTTTGGGTGTATGTACCCCAGCTCTGTMTCCAGCTTGGCAGTGGAAAACCTACTGCTCACAATTGTGATGGTTTGAAAACCAGGCACCTGGCATCCACAGGAAATGCTAACAAGTCTGGATCTCCTCGAAACACCTGCTCTCAGACTGCCATGTGACCAATTATTATATTAATTGTGACTCTCAACACAAAATGTATACATGATAGAAAGTGCTATGTTCCCTGTAACCCCATTCACAGGCTTGTCATCACTTGGCCARACTCAGAGCTGCCTTGGGGTGAGCTTCTTTTTCCTGAGGATGTGATCAAAATATGTCAGCAACCATCACCCAACATAACAATGGACTGAGGCAATACAATCAGGACAAAGAAGTTGTCCAAAAAACTTTTAAAGCTGGGGAATGAAATGCCCATAGGAACTTTGAAAGCAATGAAATAGTCCCCAGAATCTAGAGGCCATGCCTGTGTGAGAGGACATGTGCCTGCCCAGGAAATACCTGAGAGGGCACTAATGTCTCACTCAGGCTGATGTCGACGCTGAATATGAAGGAAAAAAGGGAAGGCAAAGTATAAACTACCTGCCAGAGCACTGAGCACAAACCCTGACACACACTGAAAGCCAGTCAGCAAAGACTGGGAACTCACTGGCTCAAGGCATTAAGGAAATTCCTGTCTAATCATTAGACAACCACTGAGCT